CWSAGGTATTGTTATTCATCCTCTGGAGTGAATTGTCACTTCATTGAGAATGCAGCCACAGTTAATGCCCCCTTTCAGTCAGAAAAGTTAGACTTTTTACTGCCAATTTTTCTGAGAAACTGCTGCTTCCCTCTGATCTTTGCTGTGATCTGGAATCCAAATATTTGCAGTTTCTCTAATATCTCCAATAAGCCCTATTCTAACGAGAGGTGTTGACTAATGGCCATAGTCCCAGAATATMATGTCCTTCCTGAATCCTTGCATAGTTGTCATCTTCTTTTCTTGCTTTTTAGCAGCTTTCATTATGACTCCACTTCCCCACTGCCTTTCATTGCCCAGTTTCTGACACGACAATAATATGGTGCTGGTACACGATAACAGCATAAGCCCCACATTTCTAGACATAGAACCATTAAGGCTAAATATTTTATTATAAAATACTGCTGCTATTATTAGTAGTATATAATAAGGAAGAATGTGATTCTATTCTATTCTATTCTATTCTATTCTATTCTATTCTATTCTATTCTATTCTATTCTATTCTATTCTATTCTATTCTATTCTATTCTATTCTNATTCTATTCTATTCTATTCTATTCTATTCTATTCTATTCTATTCTATTCTATTCTATTCTATTCTATTCTATTCTATTCTATTCTATTCTATTCTATATRAAACTGGTCTCAAATCTTCTAAGCACTTAAATCTCAGCCCTGCAACCTTAGTACAGTCCTCCAACCCTGCACTTACTCTTATGGAGGACCAGGAAAGGACATTTGTATGAAGAGCTTTTTACAGTGGCAAGCAGTGATAGGTGTCCTGGTTTCAGCCAGGTTAGAGTTAATTTCTTCCCAATAGCTATTATATGGCTGTGTTTTGAWTTTGGAATGAGAATAGTGTTGGGAGCATACTGATGTTTTGTTTTTTGCTAAGTTCTGTTTATCCAAAGTCAAGGACATTTTTTCACTGTCTCATGCTCTACCAGTGAGGAGGTTCACAAAAGAAACTGGGAGGGAACATAGTCGGGACATGGGGTGACCTGGACTGACCAAAGGGAYATTTCACATCACAGAACATCATGCCCAGTATATAAACTGGGAAGATTTACATGGAAGGACATTTGATCTGGGTTCAGGAATGAAGGGTCTGGCTCCCTTCAGTAGGTGGTGAGCAATTGTGTTGTGCATCACTTGCTTTTTTCCTTTTATTATCATTATTATTATTATTATCATTTACCATTGTTACTGTATTTTACTTTATTTTCAGTTATTAAACTGTTCTTACAGCAACCTACAAGTTTTACTTTGATTCTCCTCCTCGTTCCAGCAGTGGGTGGGAGGACAGAGGGTCACTCCAGCGAGCAGCTGCTGGGTTCAACATCCGTTTGGGCTTAAACCATGACAATAGGACAAGGGGAAAGGGCTTCAAACTGGAAAAAGCTGGTTTAGATTAGATATACAGAAGAGATTTTTATAATGTGGGTGGTAAAACACTGGCACAGTTTGTCTGGTAAAGTTGTGGCTGACCCATCYCTGGAAGTGTTCAAGGCCAGTGCCGTTCTCATATGTGCATCAGGAAGGTGAAACCAACACATTAGAAAGCCTGGAGGAGCTCGCTCTGCTCTTGTTACCTTCTCTGACTTGGATAAGGTGACAGACTCATTGCTGCAGTCAACATGACCTCTGAGTAAGTTGGATATCAAATTGAAGATACTCTTACACAAAAAAAATTCCTCCTTGAAGTTTTATTTTGCCCTGGTCCATACCTGGGCTTCACCTTCTGCAGAAGAAAAGTATGATATCCTAAAAAAGTATGAGTCTTCTGGGAGAATTAAAACAAGCCTGTGCTTGACTATGGCACTGGATTTTTTTWAAACTGAAACACTTTTGGTCAGAAGAATATTTTAAATATATTTTGCTTAAACAACAGTTAGTCTTGCTGGTAGTCAACCCCCAAAAATAAGGGGAGACTCAAACAGCACAAATATTCATCAGCAACCTAAAGGGAGCTTTTAAAATTTAAATGAGTTAAGATACATCACTGTAATAGTAGAACAATAGAATAATCAGAGCCCTGGATTTTTATGTTGCCTGCCAAATATAGGTATACAAGGAAGTAAAAAAGAAAAAAAAAATGTTTGGGTCTCAAGTGAAACTTTAGAAAAGTCCGAGTGATTTCTTCATAACTTAGAAGAGAATACTTCAGCTCTTAAATAAGGTGAGATACAAAACTGAGTAAAGATTTAGATCTTTTCAGATCTTTTTTTTGGTGAAAAAAGATTGTGCTGGGAGATGTTGTGAGTTTGACTTGCAAATTGCTCATTTGAGAGTGGGACTGCATTTTCTCAAATAAAAATTATAGAAAAATACTCTTTTCTCTTGGAATTTTTATTTCATCAAAAATATATTAAAAATACATTTATTTGGAATTTCCTCAATTTTCCTTTAAACTCAAACTACTTTCAGTTGAARTGAAAAAGCATTTTAATATTTTTTAACCTTGCTGGTGAACAGAAACTGTATTAAAGACTTGAATGATTCAGTGGTGTTTGCTTCCAGAAATCCTGTGCCATGCCAGATTTATGCAAGCCCCTGCAAATTAGCAAATTGTGCTTTTTTGTGTCCYGAGATGTGTTATGTGGCTGATGATTTACACCAACTGCTGTTCTTGAGAGAGCTTGAATTATGGGAGGATTGAGATGAGGAGCTACTCCATCAGCTCCATATGATGGCAAGAAAGAGAGGAACATGCTTGACCATGTTTCCCTGAAGCAGCAGAAGTAAGAATTTTAATCTAGTGAAATGGCTCCCATTTTCCATTCTTTAGGGAAATTTTGATATTTTTTTAATATCTAAACTTCTTTATTGATTCTGTTTAAGTAAACTAGAGTAACTGGCACTCAAATGACAAGACCCACCCTCCTGCTGTCAGTCAGTGCTGAAGGAAATGCCAGAAGATGCTGCCCGTGACCCAAAAGCAAGTGCCAGCTGACCAGGCAGAATGTAAAAACCCTCCTCACTGATCTCTCCACATGCTGGTGAAGTGCAGACCTGGGCTTTGTTTCCAAGAAGTAAAAGGTCTCTGTTACTTCACTGATTCCCAGCAAGGATGGACACAGTCCTTGCACTCTGGTCCTCTTGCATCTATGGTGGTGCAGCAAAAAGGGGGGAGAAAGTGGAAAAGAGGACCAGAGGTAAAGCAATGATAAATTCATGTGGGGCCAAAATGAGGGTGAGAAAGTTTAATATCGTTATTAATTGTTGCTTTGTAAGAAATGCAAATCTCTACTCAAACCAGCACAGACAAAGAAATCTGGAGTGACAAGGGTTGGGCAATTAATTTCTTTAATTCAAAGCAGGGTCCTGCCAGCCCATTGCCTACCAGCAGCTGACAATTCTGGGTCAATGAAGCTGTAATTTGGTGTGRAGGATGCCAGACAGAGAAAGGACAGACGGGTAGTCAGTGTAGTAGGTGAGGCAAATGATCTCAGCTCAAGCCTTTGGTGTGGTGCCTTGAAGGGAATGGGGAGAAGTGGGAGGACAACAGCTGGAGAASRTTWTCTGGGTGTATTTCCTTTAATGCAYCAAGATCTGTTGTTTGTGTGACCTCTCTGCTGGCAAAGAATTTTGTGACAATTATTTCTTTCTGACTTTTTCCCCTCTCAGCGCTGGTGATGGTCCTGAATAGCACAAGTGTCAGCTGGAGTGCCCGCATTCAGATGTTCCTTACCTTTTGTAAGCTTGTAGCAATTCTGATAATTATAGTCCCTGGAGTTATCCAGCTGATTAAAGGTATGACATGCAAACTAAATGCTTTTAAAGAGCTTTAATCATTACCCTCTGCAGTCTTTCCCCACATGCCTCTACCATATAATGCTTATAGCAGCAAAATCTCTTAATTAGCCTGTGCTTGCTTAACTGAGGCTCTGYACTGTCATGTGATTGATTAGAAGTGGAACTACACTGGAATGAACTGATATTTCCTTCAGCATGCCAATGAGACTATTCCAATCAGACTTGCTTTTCAAAGGAGCAAACAGACTGCTCTTCTCTGTAATTTATCTTTGGCCTGAACTTTGTGAAGGATGGGATTTAAAGACAGATGGGCGTACACGTCCCCAGAGCACATCCCTGGTCTAGGCAGGATGTCTGCTCTAACTGTGTTAATCCCTAGTCATGGTTCATGTGTGTGGTGGTAGAGGGGGCTCACARTTCACAGAATCACAAAACCATATGATGGTTTGGGTTGGAAGGGATCTTAAAGATCATCTAGTTCCAGCCCTCTGACATGGGCAGAGATATCTTCCACTGGACCACGTTTCTCAAAACCCCATCAAAGCCTTGAAAACTCAGAGCATCTGCAGCTTCTCTGGACAATGTGTTCCAGTGCCCCATCATTGTCACAGGGAAGAATTTTTCCTAATAAGTCATCTAAATATACCCTCTGTCAGTTTATGGCCATTCCCTCTTGTCCTGTCWCTACATGCTCTTGTAAAGGCCCTCTTTTTACTGACAGAAATGACCTGTAGAGACTTTTCCACTGTTAGATGCTTGACAAGCCCCAGCTCAAACTCCTCACAACTACACAGAGCACAAGCAGCCACTCAGTGCAGAAGGAAAAAGTAAAGAGAGAGCTCTTGAGYGAATTGGTGGCAGATTTTATCTAACAAAAACTGTCACAGCTCTTTTCTGTACACAAACCTTCTCAGCCAAGTAAACAGCACAGTGTTAGTTTGTGCAGTGAGCTCAGTTTCTCAGGAGCAGTGGCTCTCTGTGGTTAATATAGATTCTGAAATGAAAGTTCTCCTGTGTTACACTCTGCTGATTCACTATTTTTGTTTTCTTGTTTTTCACTYTCTTTCTGGCACTTGCAAAGCCATTTCCCGTTGCACATGACACATGAAATGTGAAACATGAAAGTTTCTCTCTGTTGTCATCCACACCACTTTTCCTAGACCTTTGTAACAGGTCAGCTCCCGATTTGGTTGGGGGTTGTTGCCCTAAAGTATCTTACCAAATATCCCTCATTTCTCACTGGGAATTTCCTCTGACCACAGTTTCTCCCTTAACAAAAAAGCCTCTGCTTCAATGGGAATTTTGACTGAATTTTGACTTTTGTTACTGAGGGCTCAGTAACAACAGAGCAAAGGGTAGAGGATTAGACTCATTGCTAATTTAACTCTGAATGAGTTCTGTTTCTTCCTGCTCAYTGTCTGTGGAGGATCATTGCTTCTCAGGAAATTTGGGATATTGTGGGGACATCTTACAAACCATAAAGTGCTTTGTCAATGAATAAGAGTGTAACAAAAGTCTTGCATATTTGCATGTATAGATAAATAGATAATTGTTACTTAGTGTAATATTAATACAGTATTGACTATCATGGTAGGGAGTTACTGAACTGATTTTTCCATGGTAGAAATTTTAAGATTGTGGGCTTATGTATCTTACAAATCTTGCTTCTGAATGAAACACCAGCAAAGTTCCTTCTGATTCAAACCTTGAACAAGTGAAATGTTCCACATCAAAAATTACCAAGCTCATTCTGCTCTTTCATGTTAATGTAAGTCACTGCTGGAAATGACAGAGCAGTGAGTGTCATCAAGCTCAGAATGCTTTGAAACAAACTAATAGGTCAAATTCCCCTATTCYATGAGCACAGATGCCACAAAGCCTTTTACAATTTCTGGCAGATTATGGCTGCAAGGGTTGGGTCAGAATTCAAGGTCAAGGGCAGAACTTGATGTCAGTGAGCTGGTGGGCGATTAAATGTTTCATGATGTGTTATATTTATTTGTTTTAAAGTAGTTATGACCAAAGAGCTTATTTTTCAACATTCTTTTTGTTGATGTTGCAGGAGAAACACAGCACTTTAAAAATGCCTTTGCAGGGAATGATGCCAGTGTTATGGGATTACCACTTGCTTTCTATTCAGGAATGTATGCCTATTCAGGCTGGTAAGTGAATGAAACTTCTACATATTTGTCCTGAAAGCGAACACTAATATGCTTTATCAAAGACATTTATTTATATGARGCAACATCTTTTGCCAAGCTACATTATACAGCTAGGGTAGTTTTCATCACTGTTCCATGTGTTCAGTGGTTTTTGTGCAAGCAGCTGTTCACAGGAAAGATTTTTCTTTTTCAGCATACAATAGATAAACATTGGCACCGACCACCAAAAAAATCAGACCACAAAAAAGAAATATTCTTCATTTTTCATTAAATATTTTAATAAAAGCATAAAAGGAGTAATGAAGCTTTAAATTTTTTGAGAAGTCAGTATTATATAAAAAAAATCAATAATTCTGTTACAAAGTTGTGTGCCCCTTAACCTTGCTTTATAAAAGCAGTGTTTGAGAAGTAAGAAACAAACTATGATGAGAACAGTATGGACCACTAAACAATAAAAAGATCTCTAGATTCCTATACTTCTTGCTCTGAGAGATTTGGACCATACTTAACAAGAAGTGCAACTGGCTTCTGCAGAAGTCAAGTGCAATTGACTGTGAGCAAAGGTGTGAGAATCTGCCTTCAGGTATCCTGCTCAGAACTTTCAAGCTATTTCTCTCTTTCCCCACCAAAGTACACAGCAGCTGTTTAGAAAGGTGCTGCTGCCTCTTGAATCTGCCTTTACAATTTATTCATGCTTGCAAGGGCTACACATTGTGCAGTTCGAAAGGGCTTTTGCAGAAGTATCGTGGGGGGAAGAAAGCAGACTACAATACACAGAGTGGGCTTGTTTTGAGATAGCTTTGTCTGCAGGTCTTCCCTTGGCTTCCCATAGCTTTTCAGGCTTTACAGCCAAGTTATTTACCTCACACAAAAGGCAAGGCCTGCAAGATAAGGGATTTATTTATTTAATTTGGAGGAACAGTGGGTCAAGCATTGGAGTTCTGTGCCTGTCTGTAACTCCCTGGTTGCAGGAGCATTATAAATCTGCACACTGAAGTATGAAGAGAACTTTATATATTAAATGGCAGTGGGGAAGGAAACCCAAGAGAGTCCAAAGCCTTTATCTGGGATAGATATGTAAGAAAAGTGCCTGGCATTTTGAAGCCTCAAAGAAATGGAGGACAATGATTATGTGGACAATCTCTACTTTCTTCCCTCTCCCATAACTGCCTCTATCTCTCGTATCCATACATATGATGATTTCTCACTTTTTAAATATTAACCTATTTGTAAGTTTTTGCATGAAAACAATATTAAAATCTCTTTAATATTATTCAGAGTTTCTTTCCTGCAAAATGCTTCATAAAAAATACTGTTATTCTGTTCCTTCTTTACCATTTTTCAGATAATGGTTCAAATCCTTACAATAAAAGTTATCTGAGCTTTCTTCTCCTTTACACCTTCTGACTTTTATTTCAAGGTCCTTATTTGCCACTTATAAAAGAAATTAGCAGGGAAAATACCTAATTTGGCTAGTGGTTCTTGCCAGCTGTCTGTCTTTGTCACCAGCTCAAATTGATTTCCTCAGAGCATGGAGGAGCAGACCATTAATTGGAGTGTCAATATCCTTGCACTCTCAGTTTCATGGGGCTAAATCAATATAATTAGCTGAATATGAAGGTGTGTTGCAAGTGTTGGTGATGTGTCCTAGGATGCAGGCAGAATTTTATGCATAGCTTACAAGAATATGAATTTTTAATGATGCATCTTTGAAGAAGAAAAGAAAGGCAGTAACTCTTCTGTGTGTGGGTTCATCCTGCCAAGAGCAAGTGTGGACTACTGGGTGTGTAAAATGCTGAGTGAAAAGGACAAGTGGAGAAAACAATGCAAGGAAACATGTCTTTGAATCAATAAAAGGATGATGCTMRGCTATCRTAGAATGGTTTGGGTTGAAARGGGCCATGAAGATAATTTCATTCCAACCCMYCTGCCRTGGGCAGGGATACATYCYGCTAGACCAGGTTGCAACCTGGCCTTGAACTCTTCCAGGGATGGGGCATCCACAGCTTCCTTGGGCAACCAGTTCCAGTGCCTCACCACCCTCACTATAAAGACTTTCTTCCATATTTCTAARTTAAATCTTCCTCTGTGCTCTCTACAYTAGAGAGTTTAAAAATAAGTACTGRGGTTTTTGCATAAGGTAAAAAAGAATTTTTGGCTCCGTCACAAAATCACCATTTTTAAAAACCATGAACCAGCATTAACTTGTTCTGCTAACCCAGTTCTGCTCCAAGATATGTGATGGTGCAAAGCTCCCAGACTTTGTGACAGATCAGTCACCATTTGTTCATTCACTGTAGCACTGCTGGCTCAGGTGCCATTTGTCTTTTGCACAGGAGCAGAAGGCCAGCATGGCTGCTGTAYTGAGTGCTAATGTTTAATTAGCCAAGATTTTGGGCCTGTCTCTGAGCCAGGAACAACCAGGCACAGACCTGGATTAACACTATGCTAAAAAATGCAGAACAGAGTGACCTCGAGGCTTAGGGTTGCTTTGTATGCAGGGCARTGCCTGGTGAGCATTTCCTATGAATTCCCATGTAGAGCTGTCTCTTGAATGCTCTCAGAATATGATCAGAGGTTGTACAAGAGCATGCAGGGCTAGCAGCCTGGGTTTGAGATTCTGTACAACAAACTAGTGTGAAAATTCTTGGTTTAGGAGTGTTTTTTTTTTAAGTCTTTATTTATTTGTATTGTTAAGAAGCCTTTGTTGAGTACTCTGATGAGGCTTTTTGCCAATATGACCTAAAACTGTAAAAGGCAACAACCATAAATGGAATAGAAAGCTTGAAGGGTGCATGTGTGTGTGTATATATGGAATTATGGTAAACCATAATATGGCTGGTATGTCAGGGGAAAGAATAATTAATTACACACTTTACATAGTTACTGTTACTGTGACTTTACAAAGTTATTGTCTTTTTCTGCTTTGCTGTCTTTTTGGAGAATTCCCTTCCTTAGTGTGGAGATGAGGGAAGGTTAAATCTCACTCTCTCCTTAATGCAAGCATCTGTCTGCAAAGTCTACTGTAATTAAAGCACTGCATTAACWAAAAACATCTTCTTGATTCTTAATAAAARAAATACAGARTAAAAATATAAGAACATAAGAAKAAAATTTATAATACCTTTTATAACTATTTTCTAGGTTTTACCTCAATTTTGTTACCGAAGAAGTGGAAAATCCTGAAAAGTATGTACTTAATGTTTTGCTTGACTTTTGAAAAATGGTTGTGAAATTTAAAATGCTGCAGAAGTAGTGATCTTCAGAAGTTCTGTGTGCTGGTCAAGCTGCTTGCCTTCCAGCAGAACTGGTATCTATTTGAATTCCAACTGCTTGAAGATTTCTTATTTTTGATCTGTTGTGACCTTGTTATGTATTCTGTTTTTATGTGCACAGAAAGCAAAAAACTAAGTAGATTTCCAGGGCACCAGTTCTTCCTTCCAGGATATGGGTAACTATCAGTGGTTCCTTTCAGTGGAAGTTACTGRTATGCTGTCAGGGAAATCTTGCCCAAGAAACTTATCTGCTGCAGTATTTGTCAGTTTTGCTGTGTTTAAATATTAATTGAATACTTCATTTTAGTTGGTTTAGATGTCTCAGAGATTCAGGATCTTGAACACACATCAGCATTCGATCCAATTAAACGGGACAGGGGATTTGGGTCGGAGATTATTTCAAATCAGGGATGAGTACTCTCAAAACACCTGCCTGTACAACATGGAAAGAAAAGTTTTCTTTTTCTGGAGAGTTTGATTTGTCCCATCTATTTTGGTAGGTATGTTTTGGTACAAGGGCCAGCAATAAAAAATTATTAACATTTTCCAAAAATTAGAGAAAATATGCCTTTTCAAACCAATTTGTTTTTTTTTTTTTTGAGGAAATGAAACTATTTACTTGATAAAAAATTAATGGCTAAATATAATTTTCTTATATAGCTGACTGTTTTAAAAGAACCCCCARCAGTGTACACTCAGATAATATAAATCTGAGCATGTAGAGAAACAAAACCCTAAGCCATTGTTTGGGAGCATGCAGAAGGTTTTTTATTGGTTTCTTCAAAGTCTGAACCAAACCTGGTGCTCTTTCAGAGCGCTGAAAATCATTATAAGGAAATGGCTGATAAAACATGAGGCTGCCAGAAAGACTAGTAAATTTTCATTTTTTCAGTGACTTTGAGGTGTGTTGTGTGTTAGTGGGCTCTTTCATGTGATSKGGATATGTAGACTGAGAATGGTGTWACTGAAAGCTGAAACCAGACAAACACAGGCAGMAAATACAGCATTAATATTCATGAGTAATCCTTATCACAGATACCTGTGTACAAATGGGTTTTTCACTGATAGTCTTCAGTTCTGATAAAAACAYCATTTTGGGAGCTGTGCTTTAGTAAAACATGACTCTGATGTATTTAAAACATTAGATGTGTTWCTTGGGGACATGGTTTAGKGGTGTACTTGGCAGKGCTGGTTTAATGGCTGGACTCRRTGGTCTTAAAGGTCTTTTCAAGCCTAAAGGCTTCTGTCTTTTTGAGTCATTTGTGTCAGTGGAGAGCAGCTGGCTAAAGATTTATATGCTGGGGACACACATGAACTGAAGCTGGATGATCTAGGGTTTAACTACCAAGAATCTGTGCTTTTTATAAAATCATGAGAGGCAGGCATTAAAACCAAGAGACACCCTTCTTTTACTTTTGAAAAATTTGGTGACAGACTGACTTTAAATGTGAAACTAAATGAAACACTGAAAGAATGCTGGTCCAGAACATCTACTGCTTCAGGAAATTTTGGGGAGACAGCTTAGGAGCCAGAGTCTGGGTGGTGTGATCCAATTCCTTTGTTAGAAGCAATKTAATTTGTAAATTATCATGTGGTTACCATCAATACTGTATGATGTTTTTAAACACACAGATGTCTGAACCCACTGGGACTTTTCATGCRCTTCTCTAATTCTGCATTTCTTTTAACTGGAATTTTTGGTAATTTTCATTATAACTATTTTGAAATATCTTGAGGGTTTTTTTTGTGATTTGAGTCAGAGAGTGCCTATTTTTGAACATTTTTGTCTCTGCTGCATAGGACAGAAAAGCATAGTTCCTCTTTATTTTTTTTAATCAAGTGCCCCTTGCAACATGATGTATCTCAGCTAGGAGAAGTGATGCTGGTTCAATGCTGATGGTTTTTTTCCATTGYACCTGGGATGTGAGAGAAGAAGACTGTCTTTTCCTATCTCAGGAGAGCTTCTCTGTTCTCCAGGTTATCTTTGGAGAACTGCTGAAGTTATTTTTGCTAGTGAGGATGTAATACTGGAGGGCAAACAACATAATCTGGCTGGTTTAGTGTATTCCAGGATGGCTCTGGAAAAAACCTGTCTCAATATTATGTGTGCAGTGTTATCACAAGGCTGTTAAAGCTTCCCTTCATCACTCTTCTGCTTGAGACTGCACTTTGAGAGGATGAGAAGGTGCTCAGTGTTTACAATCTCCATTCAAAGGTATAATATAGAATAGAGGAGAGCAGATTTTAAAAATTGCTAAATAAGTGGCAGGTAATGGTGAGGCAAATGGATTTCTGTCTGTGTGGACAAAGACCTCTGCACCACCTGTAAATGGGGATTCTGGACTCCTTTGAGCTGAAACAATTGAGCTGGAACATATTTTTTATCTGGTTGTCACCTGTAAATGACTGTGTTGGAAAGATGTCCTTCTGAACCAAGGCCTGCTCCACCATAGTTCCTGAAGCTACAGGGCAATGGAATAGTGTGGATTATTTGCAGTGACAACTGCCTCAGCTCCCACCARATCCAGTGCAAATGTTAAATGAGCCACTAATGTTGTAGACATTTATTAGGATTAACTGCTTAAAATGCTGTCTTTCCTGTCATTCTCACTGTGTGCCTTATGTTAAAGGTTACACTGAGCAACCTGGTCTAGTGGAAGGGGTCCCTGCCCATGGGCTGATGACTTAAAGCTAAGACTTAAAGTTAGACAACTAAAAATCTGTCCCAATCCAAACCATTCTGTGATTCTACTCTATTGTACCTATATGTTGATATAATACAGCTGCTTTTAAAAAAGAAGAGCAAAGTACGGGCTTGAACCACTTGGACCTGTATCAGCTGCAGGTGTGCAATTTGTAATGTTTGTCAATGGTTAGGGATGCAAATTACTTACAGCAAAAGAGGTCAACAAGAGGTGAGAGGTGAGCTCTTCTGCCCTGCACCTGCCAAAGTAAATATTTTCCTGAGAATTAGTCACAGTTGTGCATTTCCAGATGTGTGACAGCTTTGGAAGTAACTGGGGTGAGTGATCAGCTCCATCCCTGTGTGAAACAGCCTGCTGCAAACCCACAGTGAATGCACCAAAGGGACGTGCCAGGTTTACAGCAGAGGGAGTGCAGGAATGCTCTAGCASAGAGTGGGGATGGGGCTTTGAGCAATGTAGTGTAGTGGAAGTGTTCCTACCCATGGMAACMGGATTGGAGCAAGATSATTTTTRAGGTCYCTTCCAACCCAAACCATTCTGTGGAGGTGGGCCCTAGAATATATCCTGAAATGCATAGAAAGGCAGAAACATCTGCTATTGGACATTAAGTTTACCAGATAGGGATTGCATTTCTGTCTGTGGTGTGTGGCATCAGGAAAACCTTCTGGAGTATGGTTTGTGTCGTTGGGAATGCAGGAGAGGGGCAGGGAAAGGGAGATGCTTGTGCCCCTTGCCCAGCCCCTTTGATGCTCCAAGCAGCTGTTTGTACAGGCAGGAAGGGCTTTGGAGGCTGTGGGAATTTTTGGAGGTTGAGCAGCCTGCCCAGGCACAATAAATTGCAGAATTAGGTCTATAAATAGGATAAATACYCTGGGCCTGAAGCACTGGGATGCCAAGGCAATATGAAATCCTAGGCAGAGAGAGCAGAAACAGMGACAGAGTGGGAATGAGCCAAGCAGGGAACAAGTACACTTAACATTATAGAAAGGAGAATAGGCTTAAACAAAAATCTCAAGTGAATAATATTTTATGAAAAGAGTTTTGGAAGCAGTGTTGAATTCTCACTTTGGAAATGCTACCGTTCCTTCTTTAGTGTAAAGACATTATAACCCTAATTATCATAAGATGTAAAAGTAGCTGTTTCTGTCTCTTGCTAAACCCCCTTTTGATGCCTCATTTTTTAAGCCTGAACTCATTTCTTTATTCCTCTTTTTTCAAGTGCTTCTCTCATGCTATTAGTAGGTCTGAAGAAACATGAAGTTAATGTTTATCTTACCAGGAGCTGTAGTTGCAGTGTTCACTGCTTTAATGTACAATTTTTTACAAGAACCTGAAATAATTTCGTTATCAAGAATATGAGGAATAACATTAAAGTACAACAACAAATTTCCTTTTAAAAAAATATGCTTTGCATACCTGTGTTGGGTCAATAGCAATTGTTTGAAATAAAATATCTAAATAATTCTTGAAGCAGAACTTCTCCAAAACAAATCTGTGCAGCCATGTCACGTGCAGCTTTTATCTTTTTGATTTTCTTACACTATAAGGATCAGCCTCAAATTAAGGTCTTATTGTACTGCATTGTCTAAATAATGGGTGGATTAAAAAACAAGSTGGTTTCTGAGAGAATTTGTCACCCMAARATGGAYAGGAGCCATRTTGTCTGGAGCAGCAAATTTAGAGRASTAGAAATYGTGCATRTTGAACTTTCAGACTCATTTCTTGTACACAATCTTTGATCTCATCTGTATTCTCGAGCACCCACTATGTACTCTCAAGAAACAGGTTGAGTTTTTTCAATCAGCTCATGCCCAAAGGATGCTTCCCTTTTCCCTTCCCAGGCTGAGCAGAGTCTGGGATCAGTGCTATAGCTCACCAAGAATTTTGGTGGCCTCCAGATGAGAAAATAATAGAGAAATGTTTTCATATYACAGCAATGTCTTTAGAGTTTTGCCAAAGTCAAGGCCAGATTGTGTCAGATGCTGGCCAAAGAGAATCCCACTTTAACAAAATTGTGCTTCATCCTCACTATGAGTAGATGATTGGCTGGAATGCTGCAAGTTATGAAGATTAGGCTCATGTTGGAAGAGAGAGAAAATATTATTTTACTTTAAGGGGGAGGGAAACAGACTCAAATTCCTTCCTGATTACAAGGCAGGCTGGACCACGTGGGCCACTAGAGAGAGGTGTTAATTTACAGCCCTTGTTT